TCCTTGGCTCCATCCCGGTTCTACCGGCCCCGTCCCGGCTCCCTCCCGGTTCTACTTGCCCCATCCCCGGCTCTATCCCGGTTCAACTGGACCCGTCCCGGCTCTGTACCGGCTCCATTCCGGCTCCACCGGCCCCATCCCTGCTTCTATCCCGGTTCTACCGGACCCGTCCCGGCTCCATCCCGGTTCTACTGGACCCCTTCCAGCTCTACCCCCGTTCTATTGGACTCCTCTCAGTTCTGCCCCGGCTCCATCCCGGTTCTACCGGACCCGTCCCAGCTCCGTCCTGGCTCTGTCCCGACTCTCCCGTCCCCATCCCGGCTCCACCGGCCACGTCCCCGGCCCCATCCCGACCCCGTCCCGGCCGCCCCAGCCCCATCCCGGCCCTGCCCCGCGGCTCCCGGCTGTCCCTCCCCGCCGCGGTACCGGGGATCTGCACGTAGAGGGAGCCGAAAGCGGCCACATAGACGGCGGCCAGCCCGGCCAGGAACAGCGTCCGCGGCCGCGCCGCCTCCGCCATGGCGGCCCCGCCAGCGGCCCCCGCGGCGCGCGCCGATGGCGTCACAGAGCGGCGCGATCCGATGGCGTCACAGAGCGGCGCGCAACGATGGCGTCACAGGGCGGCGCGCGCGGGAAACACAAACATGGCGGCGGCGAGTGAGGGGTGAGGGACGGAGAGGGGAATGAGGGGGAACGGGAATTGGGGTTGTGATTCGGGATCGGGATTGGGGATGGGATCTGATTCGGGATAGGGATCGAGGTCGGGATTAGGGTTGTGATTCGGGATTGGGGTCGGGGTTGGGAGTGGCGTCGGGACCGGAACTGGGTCGGGATCAGAATCGGGATCAGGGTTGGGATCGGGACTAGAGTTGTAATCCGGGGTCGAGATTGGGACTGGGATTGGGATCAGGATCACGGTCGGGGTCGGAATCAGGGTTGGGAATGCGGTCGGGACTGGGATTCAGTCGGGGTTGGGATTGAAGTTGGGATCCGGGGTTGGGATCGGGCTGGGAAGTGGGGTCGGGATTGGATTGGGGTCAAAGTTGGAATCGGGGTCGGGATTTGGGTTTGAGTCAGGATGGGAGTCAGGATCTGGATTTGGGCTTGAGTCAGGATTGGGGTTGGGATTGGGATCAGGGTCAGGGTTGTGACCCCGTGTCGGGATTGGGATTGGGGTCAGGACTGGGTCAAAGTCAGGATTGGGGCTGGTGCCAGGGTCTGGATCAGGGTCAGGAACAGGATTGGGGTTGTGATCCATGGCTGGGATTGGGAGTGGGGTCTGGATGGGGTTGGGATTGTATCAGAGCCAGGATTGGGGCTGGGGTTGGGATTGGGATCAGGATCAGGATTTTCCAACCTCAATGATCCCACGTTACCTGAATTCCATTGAACTCCAGCTGATCTGGGATTCCTGCCCCAGCTCTCCCGGGATCCCACTGATCCCTGTGGGATCCCCTGTCTGGAACCACGTGGTCTGAGCCCCTCCGGGGTCTCAGCTCCGGGATCCCGCCATGGAGGAGGTGGAGTCGCGTTTCCTGCACCTGCTCCAGCCCATCCGGGACCTCACCAAGAACTGGGAGGTGGACGTGGCTGCCCAGCTCGGGGAGTACCTGGAGGAGGTAACGGGGGGCTCCTGCCCCATCCCCCTGCCTGGGCCACCCCCAAATCCCAGCAGGACTGAGCCTGTCCCATCCCTGCCCTTTCCCAGCTGGATCAGATCTGCATCTCCTTCGACAACGGGAGAACCACCATGAACTTCACGGAGGCGGCGCTGCTGATCCAGGGCTCTGCCTGCGTCTACAGCAGGAAGGTGAGCAGGCAGGGGGGTCCCTGCTGCACCCCAATCCCGTGCCAGGCCCGTGCCAGGAGCCCTGAGCTCCGTGGGGTCACCCTGGAATCCCCCCTCGGCTTTGAGGGACCTGAGTTAAATGATTAGCGGGAATGAAAGGATTTATCGTTCCTAAATTTAATTCCTTTGTAGGTGTTGGCAGCCCGGGAAAGAGCAGGAATTTTGCTGTTCTCCCGTTTTTCTGCAGAGGGTGGGATATAAAATCTTATCTCTTATAAAATCACGGTATGGTTTGGGTTGGAAGAACATTAAAGCCCATCCAGTGCCACTCCTCTGCCGTGGGCAGGAACACCTTCCACCAGACCTTTCAAACTAGCTTTGAAAAATTCCAGGGATTCCCCCAAATCTGGCCTCAGGATGGTTGAAACAGGGAAAAGAACAACAAGAATTCGTAGAATTGAACTCCAACTGTCCTGAGATAACGGGAGGGTGGTTCATCAGGTGGAGTAGCTTTCCTGGAAGCTGCTCCCACCTTTCCCAGCTCCAGGTGCTGTTTTCCAGGTGGAGTACCTGTACATGCTTGTCTGCCAGGCACTTGACTGCATTTCCAATAAAAAGTAAGTGGGAATTTCCTTTCCCAGAGGGAGTTTTGCTGGGGCTGCTGCCCCATGGAAACACTGCTGTGGGTCTCTGCCTCGGTGCTCCCCTCATCAGTGGCCATTCCCATTCCCATTCCCAAGGAGATCTGGTGGCTCCTGCATGGATTGGTCATTTTTAGTTGTTTATTTTTACCTGCCACGTGCAGTTTGTCTCCAGCAGCTCTGCCTCGTGTCCCACGGTGTGGATCTGCAAAAATCATGGGATTACAGAATCCTGGAGGTTGGAAAATCCCTCTGGGCCCATCGAGTCCAACCCTCCCCAGCTCTGCCAAGGCCACCACTGGCCCATGTCCCCAAGTGCCACATCCACAGGGCTTTGAAATCCCTTCAGGGACGGGGCCTCCATCCCTGCCCTGGGCAGCTGTGCCAGGGCTGGACAGCCCTTTCCATGAGGAAATTCCTCCTGGTGTCCAACCTGACCCTCCCCTGGCCCAGCTTGAGGCCGTTTCCCCTTGGCCTGTCCCTTGTTCCCTGGCAGCAGAGCCCGACCCCCCCCGGCTCCCCCTCCTGTCAGGGACTTGCAGAGCCACAAGGTCCCCCCTGAGCCTCCTTTGCTCCAGGATGAGCCCCCCCAGCTCCCTCAGCCCCTCCTGCTGCTCCAGACCCTTCCCAGCTCCCTTCCCTTCCCTGCACACGCTCCAGCCCCTCCAGGTCTCTCCTGCCTGAGGGCTCCAGAACTGCCCCCGGGATTCCAGGTGTGACCTCCTGCTTCTCCCCACCCCTTCAGCCCCCTCTCCCACCCATCCCGTGGATCCTGACCACGTTTTTCCCTCAGGAGGGAGAAGCTGCCCACCTCCCTGAGGCCCGATGGCCGGGATGCCGATGCCACCTTCACAGACAGGGTGGAGCAGGTGAGGGGGGTCCCGTGGCCCATGTGCCCCTGCCCTGCTCCGCTGGGATCCCTCGGTGTGCCAGGGGTGACACTCGTGGCTCTCCCGGCAGTTCCTGTCCCTGGATGACATCGAGGACACCAGCCCGGCCAGCGTGGACATGAGCAGGAACCAGCAGCCCAGCGTAAGAGGGACCCGTCTCCTTTTATCCCTCCCTGTGGAAGGGTTTTCCTGGGTGAATCCCAGGGCCATTCCAGCAGGAGTGGTGGTGGCCTTGGGGACAGTGACACCTGTGCCAGGGCCTTTCCCGGGCTCCTTCCCAATATTCCCTTACCCTGCCAGGCTGTGAAGGTCATTCCCTTGACCCCGATGTGTCTGGTCCCCCCGGAAGAGATGGAGAAGAAGGAAAACCCCCTGTTGAGGTGCCACCACCCCCCCCGGCCACCTCTGGGTGGGGGGACTGTGTCCCCCCCCCATTGCTGGGGGGTTCCCCCTCCCCTGCTCCAGTTGGGATCCCTGGGTTGGAGTGTCCCGTGTCTCCCTCTCCTGCTCCAGTCAGGACCCTTGGGTGGGAGCACCCAATGTCCCTCTGCCCTGCTCTATTGGGGATCCCTCAGGATAAACCCCGTGGCTGCACAATTCCTGTTGGGATCTGCCTCTGGTGAGGGGCAGGAGGGTCCCAGGGACGTGCAGGGAAATCCAGGCAGGACTGTGCTGGTGAAAGGGCTGGGGTGACCCCAGGCTGGAGCAGGGGGGCTTTGGGGACCCCCCCAACCTGGTGAAGGGGGTCCCTGATGGGATTTTCCCACAGCCTGAGAGGGGAGGTCCTGGCGAGCCGGAAGGATTTCCGGATGAACACCTGCACCCCCCACGCCACGGGAGCGTTCCTGCTGGAGCTGGCTGGGCTCTCCCCCACACACCTGGGGAGCCCCAGGAGAGCCACAGGTACCTGGGGGGCTGCTGGGGGGGGTGTCTGTGGGGGGAGCCACTCACCTCTCACTGTCACCTGCCGCTGTGTCCCGGCAGGAGCTCCGGGATCTGGTCCCGTCTTGGAGCATCCCAGTGCCAGCGTGGCTCCAATCCGGGCACTGAGCTTCTCTGAGGAGGCAGGTGAGTGGTGTCACCCGGCTGAGGGGGGATCCAGGTGGTTGTCCTTGTGTCCGTGTGTCTGTCTGGGAATGCTGGAGAGGAGGAGGGTGAGGAGAGACTTCATCCCTCTGCAGCTCCCTGACAGGAGGGGGGAGCCGGGGGGGGTCGGGCTCTGCTGCCAGGGAACAAGGGACAGGCCAAGGGGAAACGGCCTCAAGCTGGGCCAGGGGAGGGTCAGGTTGGACACCAGGAGGAATTTCTTCATGGAAAGGGCTGTCCAGCCCTGGCACAGCTGCCCAGGGAGGTTTGGAGTCCCCATCCCTGGAGGGATTTCCAAGCCCTGTGGATGTGGCACTTGGGGACATGGTCAGTGGTGGCCTCGGCAGTGCCTTGGTTGGACTCAGTGGGCTCAGAGGGACTTCCCAACCCAACCAACTCCAGTATTCCTGCTCCTGCCCGCTGGTGCCCCTCGGCCCTGGCAGGAGAAGCACCCAGGGGAATTCTTTGGTAGCCAGGCTGGAAATGGGGGGGTCCAGAAGCCTCTCCAGCGTCTGCCCGTTCCCCCCCCCAGGTGCTGCAGGACCAGATGATGACAACGACATTCCCGGGGCCCTGGGGGACGACGTGGAAATGACTCTGGCCCCGAATGAACACGTCGAGGCACAGAGGGTCTGTGTGGGGCAGGGCCTGGGGGGCTGCCCCTGCTCCTGCCCTGGAGCCCCTCACTCCTTCCCTGGATCCCTGGGCCCTGGAATCCCCTCGCTCCTTCCCCAGATCCCCTCACTCCTTCCCTGGGTCCCTGGGCCCTGGAATCCCCTCGCTCCTTCCCCAGATCCCTTCGCTCCTTCCCTGCCACTCCTCACCCCTTTCCCAGAGCCCCCCACTCCTTCCACAACCTCTGGACCCCCAGACCCCCCAGCCCTGCAGGTCCCAGCCCTCACTGTCCCTCCCTGTGTCCCAGAGTTCACCCTGGCCACGGGGATACGTCCTGAGGGAGAAACCCCCCAGCCAGGACCCCAGAGCCCACAGCAAGGTAAGAGGGGCCTGGAGCAGGGGGGGGGCTCTGGAGTCCAGGTGGGATGTGACCCCCCAGGACCCTGGGGGGATCCCACGGGGAGCTGTGCCCGCTCCATCCTCACCCCTGTGCCAGGAGGTGCCGGATCCGTGGCAGAGCCTCGACCCCTTCGAAGAATCCGAGGAGAAGCCGTTTAGGAAAGGTGATTTTTGGGGAGGGGGTGCTGGGGAAGGGGGGTTGCTCCAAGGGGGCTGGGGTGCAGGGACAGCACAGCTCAGCTTCCTGGCCCACAGCAGATCATTCCCAGCCCCGTGGAAGGGCCTTCCTGGCCCACAGATGGTCATTCCCAGCCACACGTCCCTCAGCATCCCCCGTCCCACAGCAGGTCATTCCCAGCCCCACAGCAGGTCATTCCCAGTCCCCACAGCAGGTCATTCCCAGTCCCACAAAGGGTCATTCCCAGTCCCACAGCAGGTCATTCCCAGCCCTGTGTCCCTCAGTGTCCCCAGCCCCACAGCAGGTCATTCCCAGTCCCACAAAGGGTCATTCCCAGCCCCACAGCAGGTCAGTCCCAGCCCCACAGCAGGTCATTCCCAGCCCCACAGCAGGTCAGTCCCAGTCCCATAGCAGGTCAGTCCCAGTCCCACAGCAGGTCAGTCCCAGCCCCACAAAGGGTCATTCCCAGCCCCACAGCAGGTCATTCCCAGTCCCACACAGGGTCATTCCCAGTCCCACACAGGGTCATTCCCAGCCCCACAAAGGGTCATTCCCAGTCCCACAGCAGGTCATTCCCAGTCCCACAGCAGGTCATTCCCAGCCCCACAAAGGGTCATTCCCAGCCCCACGCAGGGTCATTCCCAGCCCCGTGTCCCTCAGTGTCCCCAGTCCCACAGCAGGTCAGTCCCAGCCCCACAAAGGGTCATTCCCAGCCCCACACAGGGTCATTCCCAGCCCCGTGTCCCTCAGTGTCCCCAGCCCCACAGCAGGTCATTCCCAGCCCCACAGCAGGTCATTCCCATCCCCACAGCAGGTCATTCCCAGCCCCACACAGGGTCATTCCCAGTCCCACAGCAGGTCATTCCCAGCCCCACAGCAGGTCATTCCCAGCCCCGTGACATCCAGAGGGATGTGGGAAAGGGGCCCCTTCCCCACCCCGGCCCCTGGGGGTGGCCGTGCCCCCGGTGCCACCGTGTTACCTGTGTCACCTGCAGGGAGGCCCTTCCTGGTGTCCCGCGGCCTGGACGACGTGGTGGGAGGCAAGAGGAAGAGGAGGGGCCCGAGGAAGCTCCAGGACTTTGCGAGTTGGTTCTCTGCAGCCTGTGAGTGATTCCCGCGGGATCCCGCCGGGATCGGAATTCGGGAGGATTTAAAAACCCGGAGGGATTGAACAGCCCTGGGGATGTGGCACATGGGGACGTGGGCAGGGGTGGCCTTGGCAGTGCTGGGGGGACTCCACGGGCTCAGAAGGCTTTTCCAACCTCAATGATTCCATGGATTTGCCACCCAGCGGTTCCCAATCTCTTCCCTCCAGACTACAACGTCAGAGACAGCCGGAAAACCAGGAGGAAGGGCCCCACCTTCGCAGGTGAGGGGGGGACACAGTGGGCACAGGTGGCACCGGGAGAGCCCTCGGGGTGGGATCTCCCACAGTTCCCAGTGCCAGGGGAGAGCAGGGACTGGATTCTGCAGCGGGGGGGAGGATGGAGGGGAAGGGCACCCCAAAACCGTGCAAGGGGAGCCTGGGAAGGCCCCCCCAGATTGTGGTGTGCCGGGGGGGGGGCTCTGCTGGGTGTGGGTGCTCCCCAAATCCCTGTTCCCCATCCCTGTGTCCCGGCAGACCTGGAGGTGCTGTACTGGCGGCACCAGAAGGAGCAGCTGGCAGCACTGAGGAAGCTCAAGAGCCAGGGGGTGAGTGGGGTAGGGGGGTAAATTGGGGGGCAGAGGGACACCAGCCCCCCCCCCCGGGGCTCTGGGGGTCTTCAGGGTGTGCTCAGGGCTGTTCCCTTTCCTCCAGGAGCCGCTGTGGGAGCCGGAGCTGGAGCAGCTGGAGCAGGAGCGTGGGGCTGACTGTGACCAAGGGGCAGGTACTGGCACCCCAAATTCCCCCCTCCGGGGGCTGGGGGGGTCCCAGGGGGCACTGAGGGGTCTCCCCATCCCAGCAGATGATGATTTTGTGGAGCACGAGGATGTGGAGCAGGAGGATGCGGAGCCGGAGGAGCTGGGAGAAGGATCCCTGGGTGAGCTGCTGATCCTCCCCCAGATTCCCCACCCCCATCTGTCCCTGGCAGGTCCCCTGTGCCCCCCCAAAGGTGTGGGGGGTGCGGTTGTGTGCTGTGCCCCCTGCCCCCACCGTGACCCCCCTTTTCCCACAGACCCCCCGGAGCCGGGATATGAGGAGCTGGTGCGCAGGAACGTGGTAGGTGCCAGTGTGGGGATGATGGGGGGGTGCTCCCAGAGGGTTGGGGTACCCCCCAAAGGGTTGGGGGTGCCCTCAGGAGGGTCAGACTGCCCCCAAAGCATTGGGGTGTCCCCTAAGGGTCAGGATGTCCCCAGGAGGGTGGGGTGACCCCCAGAGGGTCGGGGTCTCCCTGGGAGGGTTGCGGTGCCCCCAGGAGAGCTGGGGTGCCCCCTGAGGTTTGGGGGTGCCCCCCCTGCACTGCACTGCCCTGTCCCCACAGGAGCTGTTCATGGCCAGCTCCCAGAAGTTCGCGCAGGAGACGGAGCTGTCCCAGCACATCCGGCGCTGGGAGGAGCGGATGGAGCCACTGCTGCAGGAGCAGGCATGGACCCCCGGGAGGGCAGGGACCCCCAGGAGGGCAGGGACCCCCAGGGCTGGGGCAGGGACCCCCGGGAGGGCAGAGACCCCCAGGGCTGGGGCAGGGACCTCCAGGGCTGGGGCAGGGACCCCTGGGAGGGATGGGGCAAGGACCACTGGGAGGGCACAGACCCCTGGGAAGGGCAGGGGCTGGGACAGAGACCCCCAGGGCTGGGACAGAGACCTCTGGCTGGGCAGGGACCACCAGGGAGGACCGGGGTGGGCAGGGGACTGGGGTGGGAAGGGGACTGGGATGGGCAGGGATCATGGACCTCCTGGGATGGGCAGGGATCACCCAGGGATCCCCGGGCAGGACACTGGGGACAGGGGGCTGAGGTGGGCAGGGAAGAGGGTGGGCAGGGGCAGGCAGGGACCACCCAGGGAGGGCAGGGACTCCATGGGTGGGACAGAGGGCAGAGGTAGGCAGGGACTACGGTGGGCAGGGACCACCCAGAGTGGGCACGGACCTCCTGGGGAGGGCAGGGCCCTGGCAGCCCGTCCCTGCCCACCCTGACGTGTCCCCCCCCCGTGCCCGCAGGAGGCCCGGGCGCCCTTTGACATGCGCGGGTACGGGCTGGCACTGACGGGGCGCTGCGGGGAGCTGGGACAGTGGCACTCCCTCGCCAGCCTGGTGGCCGGGCAGCCCCCCTTCGAGGTGTGCCGGTACCTGCTGGCCTCACTGCAGCTGGTAAGGACTCGGGGGAGGGTCCAGGGGGGTCCCCGGGTGCGCGGGACCCCCGCCCACCCCCGTGCCCCCCATTCCCCAGGCCAACGACGGGGTGGTGGAGCTGGAGCAGGACGAGGGGCTGGAGGCGGCGCTGGACACGGCGCGGCTGCGGCTGCTCACCCTGCGCCCCGCCCACGAGAGGTTCCAGGGCTTCCAGCCGCCCTCCCTCAGGGACCCCCACCCCAAATAAACCCCCCCCCCCCGTGCCGCCCTCCCTCAGGGACCCCCACCCCAAATAAACCCCCCCCTCCCCCGTGCACAGGAGCGGCCGTGGTCAGTGAGGGAAAGGTGTCTTTGGTGGGGGGCTGGTATGGGGGGGCTGTTGGGGTCGCTCCACTCGCCTGCCTGCGGGGTGCCACCCCCAGGGGACAGTCCTGGGGTCTCTCTGCCCACCTACCCCTCTTCTCCCTCCTCGTGGGGAGGGTCCTGGCAGCTCCGGGGTGTGGGGTCCTCCCTCCCCACAGGACAGTGCTGGGGGACTGCAGGTGGGAGGGGGTCACTCCACGCACCCACACAAGGCCTCCTTCCTCGTGGGGAGGGTCCAGGGGGGCTAGAGGGGTCACCTCACTCACCTACTCGTGCTCTCCCTCCTCATTAGGAGGGTCCCTGGGGGGCTGCAGGGGGTGGAGGGGCACGGGGGCAGTCACTTCACTCACCTTTACAGAGCCCCCCAACCAGGGGACAGTCCTGGGGGGCAACAGGGGCTTTGAGGGCCCATCCACCCACCTACCTGTGGTGTCTCCTGGGGGGCCACAGTGGGGTCTGTTAGGAGTCCCTCTCTCCCTCTGGGATACTCCTGGGGGGCACTGGGGTCTATCTGGGGTCCCTCCCTACCCCTGGGACACACCTGGGGGGCACCAAGGTCTCTCAAGGGTCCTTTCCTGGTGCTGGAACACACCTGGGACAC